TATATATATATATATATATATATATATATATATTCCTCATCAATATCTTATTTCTCTCCCTTTCTCTCTCTCTCTCTCTCTATATATATATATATATATATATAAATTTCCAAAAAATACAAAAAAAAAAAACAATAGACGGCTGTTGGTGTGTGTAGTGGGGGAATGTCTAGTGATGCTGTGCGGGCGGCACTTGAAAGTGGACTCTGGCGTGAGAAGAAGGACCAAAAGTCCGGCCGGTCGTATTTCGTCAACACACAAACACGTGTTTCCGTGTGGGACCTCGCCCGTGAACTCGCCCGCTCCCAGCCAACAACCAAAACAACGACTGCAAAAACAAAGGGAAAAGACACTGCCGAGAGTTTAACCGCCGAGCGGAAGGAACAGGCACGGCGATGGCAACAGCAGGAGTCGAATCTCACCGAGCGCGTAATGGCGTTGGAGCGGGAAAAGGTGCGGCTGGAGAGTGAGATCACTGTACTGCAGGAACCCGCACGGGCAGAGGCGGAGGTCCTGCAGGAACAACACCAGCAACTCTGCGATGCAAAGAAGAGTCTCGAGGCCATCATGGCAAGTGATCTGCAGCTGCGAAGGGAAAAGACGATGGAGTTGCAACAACTCCAGACAAAATTGGATACTTTGCGATTAAATCGTCAACAGGAACTGGAGGCATTTGCAGTCCTTAAGAAAAGACTAGCACAACTTCAACAGGAACATGCAGAAGCCGTAGTAGATCTTGAACGAGAAGAAAATCTCATAGAAACATTGCGTGAGGAACACAACCGAGAAGAGCGACTTTTAGAGGATGCCATTCAAGAAGAGGCTCGTCTGAAGGAATTTATGAAGATAAGAAGTGGAGAGGTGGATCGCATGAAAGCGGAACTAAAGGGATTATGTCAACGAAAAGCAGAACTACAACAATACCACCAACAACTCGCAGCAGAGATGGCAGAGGATGTGAAAGATATAAATGAAGATAGATCACAAGAAGGTTTATCTTCATCTATGCCACTTCTTTCTCACCTGCAAGATGAGGTCTCACGAAGACGGAAAAGTTTACAACAGTTAAAACAAAAACAACATCTTGTAAATGAGGCGGAGTGGATGGAAGTGGAAAGTGCAGAACTGCAACACCTCCGAGCTTCAACAAATGCTGAAGTACGTCAATTAGCGTTATTCACAAAGGAATTAAGTGATCAAGTACGGGTGGTGCTTCCATTGGTGGAATCTATTAAACGTGATGTTGAGAAGCTAATGGAAGAGTTGGAGACTTAAACCACTTTTTTATTTTTATTTTGGTGGGGGTTTATTTCTCTGGAGATAATATTATCGAAAATCTTTTAGTGCAATAGTGGCTTTTGTAATATATATATATATATACCTTCTTTCTTTCTTATATATTTATTCCTCTCTTGTTATGGCTTCCTTCTCTTCGTGTATAGGGAGTATCATTTTTTTTTTTTTCTCGAATGCCTTGTTTTTACTCTTTTTCTCTTCTCTTTGTTTCTTCTTTTTCTTCTAAATGTTATGTTTATTTCTCTATCTTTACAAAAAAAAAAAAAAAAAAAAAAAAAA